CCTGCTGCTGCCTGTGCAGAGCAGGCAGCGCTGCAGGGGATGATGGCCTTGTTGCTTCTGTGGTTCCCAGGCACCTTCTTCGTCATGGCTTAGAGCTCTTTGCAGCTCAAGACCTGTTGAGCCTGGCAGCATCTCCCCACATCTTGCTCCCTACAGGGAAGGGGGACTGCAAGGGAGGCAGCAGCTCTCCGTGTTCCCCTCAGCTCACCTGCCAGGGTGCTGAGGCCAGGCTGGGGACCCAAAGTTTACCCCTGTGCTGGAGTGTGCCCCGAGGAAGGGGAGGAGAGGGCAGGAAGAGGTGTTGGCAAGTTCATCAGCATCCACCCTGGCTCCTGGCCCCTTTCTCTCCACAGTCTGGCCTGACCCCTCTGCATGTGGCTGCCTTCATGGGGCACCTGCCCATCGTCAAGACCCTTCTGCAACGTGGAGCCTCTCCTAATGTGTCCAATGTGGTGAGTCCCACTCTGGTTGGAGCTGTGGGAACTCAACGTGGTGGGGTCCAGCAGGAGGTTGGGATTGCCCGAGTCCTTCTCTCTCTGCTCTCCTGAGCAATCCCTGGTGCCTCCCTGCTTTGTGCTGGCAGGAGGAACTAGCAGGAACCAGAAAAAGTTGTGGGCACTGCTCTTCCTGTGCTCAGACCAGAGGAATGACTGCGGGAAGGTATATCCCCTCCTACGGCCTCACCAGTTTATCCTGTCCTTGGTGCAGAAAGTGGAGACCCCCCTACACATGGCAGCCAGAGCTGGACACACGGATGTGGCAAAATACCTGCTGCAGAACAAAGCCAAAGCCAATGCCAAGGCCAAGGTAGGTACAGAGAACCTGGAGGCATCTAAAAGGTGTGTAGATGTGGTGCTTAGGGACGTGGTTTAGTGGTGCACTTGGCCATGCTAGGTTTATGGTTGGACTTGATGATTTTAAAGGTCCTTTCCAACCTAAGTGATTTTATGATTCTAACCTGTGTGACACTCCCACTCTGGGAACAGCCGGTGCTGGTTTCTTTGCTTTCACCTGCCTGGGGCTGTGCAACAGCAGGAGCAGGGCCAGGGCCCCTTTGGCATGGCAAGCAAGGGACTGGTCCGGATCTGCCAAAACAGCTTCTCTGCCTATACCTCCCAGGATGACCAGACTCCTCTGCACTGTGCTGCGCGCATCGGCCACACCGGCATGGTCAAACTCCTGCTGGAGAACAGCGCCAACCCCAACCTGGCCACAACAGCGGGGCACACGCCCCTGCACATCACTGCCAGAGAGGGGCATATGGACACAGCCCTGGCGCTGCTGGAGAAGGGAGCCTCACAGACCTGCATGACCAAGGTAGGCTACCGTGGCCACTGTCGCTGAAGATGTGACCTAGCTGGGCCGAGGCTGGGCAGGCTGGTGGCACAGTGTCCCTGTCACAGGAAGGGCAGCATCCACCTGTGCAGCAGCATGAGCCAGTGCTCTCCTCCTCATCCCTGTACACTCTGTGATGGGCTGCCTTTCTCCTCAGAAAGGATTTACCCCTCTCCACGTTGCAGCCAAGTATGGGAAGGTGGATGTGGCAGAGCTGCTGCTGGCACGTGACGCTCACCCCAATGCAGCAGGGAAGGTGAGTGCTGCTCCTGTGGCAGTGGGAGGAGTGGTGTGGTAGAGGGAGAGGCTCTGTCTCACCTGTCTGTGCCCTCTCCCCCTCCCCAGAACGGCCTGACCCCGCTGCACGTGGCTGTGCACCACAACAACCTGGACATCGTCAAGCTGCTGCTTCCCAAGGGGAGCTCCCCACACAGCTCAGCCTGGGTAAGGCTGGACTGGGTGTCCCTGGGGACGTGGGGATGTGTCAGGTGTCCAGTGCCTGCCAGCCTGAGGCCAGCATTGCCACTCAACCCTGACACTCAGGGAGAGTACAAGGGACCGATCACCACCACGCCTGCTGCTCACGCCTGCCCATCCCTTGCAGCAGCGTGTGGGGCAGGCAGGGGTGCTGGGTGGTGGTCCTGTTCCAGCAACCAGGCTATGTCAGGGGTAGTCCCTGCTGGCAGCGTTGTGGCTGTTGCTTGGGGCTGTGTTTCCACGGCAAGCCCTGCAGAGCAGCGCTGCGGTCTGGCAGTTTGGGAAAGCACACACGAATGTTTGCATGCAGCTATGAAACAGTGAGTCAGAAAACCCACGGGCTCTTGAGAGTTGCCCCGCTCTGCCTGTGAATGGAGAACATCTCCCCAGAGAGCAGACCAGCAGCCTTGGTTTCCACATGGTTTGCAGAAGCTGCATCCTCAGAACAGCCAAGTGGCCGCCGGTGCTGGCCCCATCCCCACCTGGCACCCTCTCCTTCCCCTGCACAGGCTGCCGGCATGCTTGCTGGGCAGGCATCAGAAGCAGCGGGTATCGGTGCCAATCCCCCGTTGTTCTGCGTCACTGACAGCCTGCATGTCACCCCGGGCAAGAGGGTGTTTGCCAGCTGCTTTGCTCCTGCAGCGTGGCAGCAAAGGCAGTGCTCAAGGCCCTGCAGTCTCTGCTTGAATACTAATTCTGCATATCGCGAGTTTTGCTCCGCACCTCAGCCAGACACATTCTAGGGGGTGTCTGTCTGCCCTGGCCTTGCACAGCTCCAAGTGACTGAATACTGCCAGAGAAATTGTGTGGAAAAACTCCAGGACAGCTGATATCAGTCAAACCCCTGTGCTGATTTGGGTGGAAGGGTGGGATTTAGCCTCGATGTGAGGGCTACTTGCTGTCAGGGCGATGGTTTGGGTGTGAGCCTGCATCCCTGAGCTCTGGAGGGGACTAGAAAGGGTAGGCCTGGCTTGGAGAGGCAAGGTGGCACCTTCTATCCTTGCTGGTGTGCTCAGCAGGGGCTGAGCACTGCAATGACCCTCTCTCCCTGCAGAACGGGTACACCCCCCTGCACATTGCTGCCAAGCAGAATCAGATGGAGGTGGCCGGCAGCTTGCTGCAGTACGGGGCTTCTGCAAACGCGGAGTCTGTGCAGGGAGTCACGCCTCTACACCTGGCTTCTCAGGAGGGGCATGCGGATATGGTGGCACTGCTTTTCTCCAAACAAGCCAACGGCAACCTAGGCAACAAAGTAAGTTGTCCCAGAGCATCCTGCCAGGCTGGAGGGGAACACCCCGGCAGGGAGCAGCAGACAGGGTGGTAACCCAGGCCCCAGTGCCTCCCTGTATTCGGACAGCAGAGTGCTGGCCAACAGTTGGTCAATTTGCTGGTTGGAGACCTGACTTAGAGTCGCTGCTGGTAGAGCTGCAGTCATGGCATTGCCACTGTGCTGAGACCTCCTCTGTTTGCAGAGTGGCCTGACTCCTCTCCATCTTGTGGCCCAAGAGGGGCATGTGCTGGTTGCTGATGTTCTGGTGAAACATGGAGTCACAGTGGACGCAACGACCAGGGTAAAGTAGTGCATTGACCGTGGCTGTGGTGAAAAACATGTGGGGAAACTACCTCTAGGCCTGCTCTAGGAGGAGCATTGCTTTTCTTTTTCTTTGTGCAAGGTCTCCCCTCTAGCAGGCATCCTTACCATCTTGTCTGTGTCTTGGGGACTCTTCCTCCTCTTCCTCCCACCTCCCTGGAGGGATGATTCTTGCCTGCTCCCACAGCTCACCCCTGTACCCCCAGGCACAATGTGGTGTGGTCTGCAGTGTGTCCTATGCCCTGGTCCTGGGCTGTCAGGCAGAACCCACACACATGCCCCATCCTTCATCCATGGGTCTTGCCCATGGGATGAGCACACCCAAGACCGAAGGGCAGGAAGCACCACTGAGGGCAGGCTAGGACCTGATCTTTTCTTTCAGATGGGCTATACCCCGCTGCATGTGGCCAGCCACTATGGGAACATCAAGCTGGTGAAGTTTTTGCTGCAGCACCAGGCTGATGTCAATGCCAAGACCAAGGTACAGAGATGTCCTGTGTTCCAAGGACCCTTCTACCCTGGGCAACAGCATGCACATTGATGGGGAAGGCATAGCCTCCCTCGCTGCTTCCACTTCTCCCTCCCGCATTGCTCCAAGCCCTCCTGTCTCCATGGCTGGAAGCTGCTGTAGCCTACCCGCAGTCCCGAGCAAGTGCTGGGTTCTGCAGAGCACTTTGCTTACCCTGGAAAGAAGGGACCCACCCTCGTGCTCCAGGCTCGAAGCACAGTGTGAGGCCTGGGGACATTTCTGGGGCAGCAGGACTCACAAAACTGATGGCAGCTCCCTCTGTCTTCCCCTGCAGCTGGGCTACACCCCTCTGCACCAAGCAGCACAGCAGGGCCACACGGATGTTGTGACGTTGCTGCTGAAGCATGGTGCCTCTCCCAATGAGATCAGCACAGTGAGTATGGCATTCGCCTGCACCTCCTTGCCCCATGGCAAGCTTGGGCACCTACCTGGGCTTCCCTGTGGCTGCTGCTGACCCGGCCTTTCCTCCTTGCCCAGAATGGCACCACTCCCCTGGCCATCGCAAAGCGACTCGGCTACATTTCCGTCACAGACGTGCTCAAGATTGTCACGGAGGAAACCGACATCCCGGTGAGTCCCTGGAGACTGGGACCAGGACCCTTTGGAGGAGGGCTGGGACTGGGAGCAGCCAGGCAAAGGTCCACTGAGCACAACTGGGCAGGGCCAGTGCCTCGCCTGGGCATGAGGAGGGGGCTGCAGGTGGCTGTGCAGTGAAGGGCTGGCCTCCTCTGACTCTGCTCTGCTCCCGCAGTCAGTCAGTGACAAGCACCGTATGAGCTTCCCGGAGACTGTAGACGAGATTCTGGACGTGTCAGAGGATGAAGGTGAGGGGCCAGAGCTGGACTGCACCATCCCAGAGATCTGCTGTCTGGGCCAGTGTGGCAGGCAGCAACCCAGGGGATGGGCACTGGTATTCCTGCTTGCCGGGGTGGCGGAGCTGTGTGGCCCCACACTGCTTTTGTGGAGAGGACGAGGGGAGCCCACCAGACTCCTGGGGTGGCACCTCCTGGCTCAGGTGCTTCCCTGCGCCATGCAGGAGGGATGTGCCTGAACCTCTCCATGTTCCTGTGCCCCAGGGACAGTGTGCACAGAGCCCTTGGGCATGCAGAGCCCCCCACCGCCCCCTGCTCCACGGGGCGGGACCAGCTCCCAGCCTGGCTGCAGCTGGTCCGCTCCTTCTCCCTCCCACCAAGACCTCACCTTTGCCTCTTCTTACTTTGCAGGCACTGCTCATGTCACAGTAATGGGTATGAAATGTGTCCCCCCTGCCCCAGCTCAATGGCCCATTTCACCCCATGGCCACTAACCATCCGCACGCCACATCCATCTGCTGAGCCTTGCTGCTGGGCTGGTGCTACCCAGCGCAGGCCCTGCCATCCCGCCCTGCCCATCTGTGTCCGTGCTGCTTGCTCTGGTGTGACTGCATGAATGGGGCTGTGCCCCAGCTTGGGTGGAGCCCTGGCTCCCTGTCAGCCCCAAGCCCTGGCCCCAGTAGGCGGAAGAGCCTACTCTGGCCTACACAGCCTACTGTAACAAACTCCAGTGCCGCCCCATAACCGCCTCATGCTGTCCTGGCCAGGGAGGGATGAACCTCAGTGCTCGAGGGTCTCCGTGCTGCTATGGTCCCCTCCCTGTCACTGGGGCTCTCTCCCTGATTTGGGAGGTGCTGGACTTTGGGAGGTGAACTCCTTAACAGGTGTTAATTGGGCCTTGGCTGGGCTTGTGCCTCCGAGGGGTGTGTGGATGAACTCGGCAGTGTTAGGGCATCCTTCCCGTGTCCCCAGCCCTGCCTACACTCCTGTCCCAGCACCCAGCGGCAGGGTGTCCCCAGCAGACTCTGCTCTGTGCTTGGTGCTGTGGGAAAGGAGTCGGCTAGCAGCCGAGGCTCCTGACAGCTCCCACAGCTCCTATCCCACTAACCTTCAGTGTGGGCCTTGCCCCTGCCAGCAGACCCCATCTGGCAGAGGGCAAAGCTGCCCCATGGCTGGCTGAGACCCGGGGGACGAGGGTGTGTCATCAGTGGTGGGAGCAGAGATGGGCCCTGGGTTCAGCCCTGAGGAGGGGTGGGGGCAAGGGCTGGACATCTGTGCTCTCTTGTCCTTCTGCCTCTCTGCATGCTGAGCCAGCTCTCGGTTTCAGAGGAGGAGCTGATTGCACCAAAGTCCAGGACACCCGATCCCAGGTACCAAGAGGGCAAGAGGGAGATGCTGGAATTTGTGACCTCAGCGACACTGGAGCAAACGTAAGAGGCACTGGACGGTGGGGAGGGAGTGGGTACAGGGCGCAGGGCCAGCCTGGTGCTGGGCAGGGACAGCTCTGGGCAAGGAATGGATCACTGAGCCCCCACCAGCTAGCATAGCAGGCAAAGCTAGTTGGTGGTGTTCCTGCACCAGGACATGCGTCGGCTGCCGAGTTTGCCTTCGTCCAGCAGCCCTGGGACTCCCTGGGACAGCTGGGAGCTGAGGGGCCCAGGCCTGCCACTTCAGTGGCTGGCACCGCCCTCTCCTGCCCGGGGGGAGGCG